AAATAACTTTTTGGAAAAAGGACAATACCATTAAGGAGAACCACTATTGGTATTTTCAAATTTAAGACTAGCTGCACATAACACAAATGGATTTTTCCATTTTGTGCTTTTGGACTTCTGTAGGAATAAAAGTGGAGAAAATATCTCATAATGACAGCTTTTGGGAAGAAAAAATACAAAATAAAATTAAAATTTTTTATATGCAATATGCCCTGTCAGAACTTGTTGACAGCGAAGCTAATAGCGACATGGAAGTACAGGACAGAATTATTATTTATTATTATAATACGCTAGGTATTTTAAATTTAGGATTTTACCAGTAGAAGTGGTAATTGATGATATATAATTATTACTATGCCAAATGTTTTAAAAGGCTACACCAACTAGTGGACCACTCTTTTAAGTCCCCAAATAATAGTTTCAAGATTTTAATTCGGATATTTTTATTTCACAAAAATAATAAGTCAGTTTTTGTTTTTTATGTAAATCATATCATTTTCAAGGCAATAAAACAGAAGAAAAGTCACCGAATACCGATTTCAAAAAGGTCTATTAGCTTTTATAGGAAATGAGAAGAGAAAGAACGCTTTTTAATCAAGTTAAAATTCTTTACTAATTTCGCTCTTCCTCTTCGACGATGTCCGGTCTCCTTCTTGTTTAAAATCGATAACTATAAACGGATTAAGGTATTTTGTACCGTTTTAAAAAATTTAAGAAAAATTTTGAAGAATATTTGTTTTTTTAAAAAAATTAGTAAACTTTGACAAACATGTACAATATTCTAAAAGATAAATCACATTACGTGTAGGTAAAGGTTAAATCTATGCTCCTCTGGAACCACTTTTTCAAAATTCAATTTAGTTTTTTCTAAAAAAAATTGAGAAAATGGGTAAAAATAGTCGAGCTTTGTATTTTTTTTTTAGAAAAAACAGTTTCAAATTTTAAAAAGTGTCTCCAGAGGAGCATAGAGTTATCCTTTACCTACACGCACATATTTTTTTCTTTCAGAAAGGGTCAAAAATAAACTTTAAAAGTGGGGTACTACGAAACCCTTGCATGCTCCGCTTTACAGCCAAGTAAATACTCCTCTTAAGAAACGAAAATTTTATTTATTTTTCTAAAATAATATGGATTTTTCTCTAAAATATATATATAGTGGCTCACAAAAGTCTGCTTTTTATATGTTACTTTTTTCAGAAAATGTTATTCCTGATAAAACTTGGGGTTTAATTAAACCTTAAACTTTATTTATTCAAATAATTCTGTATCATAAATATAAATTTGGCTGCACAGTGAACTAGGTAGGTACTTTTCTAGGAACCGAACCCACATTTTTACATATAAGATTAATTTAACAAGATATATATAACTCCACATAGTAGTTTTTTAGTTAATACAATTAATATAGATTATTATATCCTTTTTAACCTATTTCAAAAAGGAGGAGGTTCTCAATTCGTCTGTATATATTTTTTTTATGTATGTTCAGCGATAATTCTTTAACACAATGTCCGATTTAAATGATTCTTTTTTGCTGGAAAGGGGGTACTTCCGGGATGGTCCCATATAAATTTGGTCAAAATCTAATAATTGGATCCATGAGAAAATTCTCAAACTTTTCATTTTTTATGTATGTTTAGCGATAATTCTTTACCACCTTGTCCGATTTCTATAATTCTTTTCGTTAGTAAGGGGGTACCTCAGGGGTGATCCCATATAAATTTGGTTAAGATGTGGTGATGGCATCTGCGCGATTTTAAAGTTGGTTTTTTAAAATTACTTTTAATACATGTTACGTAAATTAAAAGTTTAATAATTTGGTGCTTTCTTGATACGTCGTTTTATGATTTTACTTTGTATATATGTTTAAGTACAGATAATTATTATTACTGACAATTTATTTTAAATCATTAAAATAATATTTTGTTGATCCAAAAAAGGCAAACAAAAAAGCCATGTCACATTCAGTGTAATAATAAAAATTAGATATATAAATATATTATATTATGTACCAACAGACTAAACTTTCACTCCCGCCCTTTTGTCGTAAAAGACTTCTAAATTTTTACTAGTGACGTCCGTACCGGGTTTGAACTGAATATTTTTAAACAAAAATATGGTACGCCACTGCTTTTTCTAAAAACCAAAATTATCTTTAAAATCCTTATTTATTTTGGAGCAAATTTGGTTTATAGACGTACTTTCGTACGACGCACCCTTTTCGCGTAAGAAAATAAAAACCAGTTTATTGAAACTGCTTTTGATATTTTGTTGAAATTTGGTAGAAACCCACCATGAGTGGAAACACTTTTTTTTGGGCAAAATTTTATAAAAATATCTAGAGTGATAAGAAACTTATGATAAAATAGTTATTTTTTTCTTAAAACTTTAACACCCAAGGATTCACACCCTTAAGTATCGGCACTCAATTAATAAATACCCTGTATTAATTGATATTACCTTATTCGAACCAATCGTCTATTTTTTCGTTATTTGTATTTATATTTCACAACTCTTTACTCCTAAATGTAATTTAATCTAACTAAACCTATTCACTAAATTAAAATATAAAAATATAATGTAAAACCCTCTAAAAAATCGAACTGCGTTGTAACAATATCTCGCAATGCACCAAGAGAAACAAATACAATTCTGGTTCCCCTAATTTAGGTAACTCTGACCCACTCAAGAACGTCGGCAGCCGAGGTAGGATTTTCCTTTGTCTCAACTACACGCGTTAGAGTTTGGAATACGTATCCCTCGTATCTACATGCAATTGTTAAAATTATGAATGAATGCGGATTTTGTTTAGTCTCAGAAGTAATTTTGTAGTATTTAGGCCCCACCCTTAAGTTGTAATTTTTATACCTACCGTTGCCCCGCAGGTCTTTCAGTTTGTAATGTAAATTTTCCTCTTAAGAAATTATGAAAAATAACTTTTTATATAAATATTTTTACAAGCATAATTAAGTCCATCCATGGACACACTATATTGTTCTTTGTTTAATGTAATACAGAGAGGCTGAAATTGAGGTATAGTAAAAACTCAATCGAGACATGGAAATTTCAAATAAAACAAAATATTTATATAAATTTATTATTAAAATGTTCTTGAAATTAAGTAGTAATATCACAAAAATAGAGGTAGGTATATCATAAACGCAGTTACACATGTGCAATAGTAGAAGCTACCTATTAGCGATTCAAATTAATTTTCGCGCGCCAGTTATTTGTCACCTATAAGTAGGATGTTTGTTTATTTACATGTTTTTGTTTCGGGCGGATTTTGTATTTGTGATTTTTTAACTGGTTTTAGATAATATTCTGATTGTAATAGTGTTTTTGAGTTTCATTTAGTGTTAATTTAAGTTTAAGTCTCGTGCTTTCGTCATAAATATAATATTTATCATGTGTATGACTTAATTTGTTGGAAATATTCACCTATTGGTTGCTACAAGAACATCTAAAAATATGTATTCAGTAAACCCAGGACATGTTTTATGTGGTTTAAATGACATTTCAGGTACCACACGTTTATTATTGAACTTATTTAAAAATCTTACTAGACTTATTCTTATATTATGAAGTGAATCATGTAGTACTTTGTATACATGTAAATGGTAATAAAACCGTCACAAATCAGATTACAGTTTGATTCTAAACTAAGTTTTGTAAAATTTCAATATTGTGAATTTGTAGATATCCGTTTATCGTAAAAAACAAAATTTTACGTCTTGCACTTGGAAAATAATGAATACTTCAGTTTTGATTTTGACATTAACACCATATAGATTGCAATTTTCTGGGGACTTCTTCGCAGATTTCATTTTTAATATAAACACTATCACATACTATAAGAAATAAACAAATTTAAAACTAAAAAGTAAGAAAAAACTCGAATTGTAATTGATACAAATTAAAATGTAAACAATGAACATGAACGCCAATGTTGCCAAATGATGAACTGATTTTAAAACAAAATTAATAAATGAACTGAAATTTAAAAAAAATCATTATAATAAATCGGTTTTATAAAAAAATCCTTAAATAAATATAGAGTATGATTACATATTACCATACACAAATTTTGATTCTTAAATAAAAGGTCTTATCCACTTCTTCAAGAGCTTAAATCCGACGACGTAGCGAAGTTTTGCTACTTCTGGCAACACTGAACGATATCCTACTTATACGGACCTTCTACAAATTTCCTCCAGAGGGCGTATCACTTATCTTGAATCGCGAATAAAGCACTGAACGATTGGACAAAATTTGCTTAATAGTATAATAAGGTATCAATATTGCAAAGGTTCACTAGAAGCTTAAACTGAACGATTGCACAAAAGTATATTTATATAAGGTACGTTTCAAGATGGCAATTGTGAATAATAGATGATTGCAACAATGACTAGGTATATATTATACGAGAAAGCTGAGTTCCCAGATTGCTTACCTGTACTCGCAGAGATATATCATCTTTTTAAAATCAAACCTTTTAACTTTTTTTTGTATAGATATTTATATTTTTTTATTTTTTTAGTTTATTATTTATGCAAAGGTGAGCAAACATTATTTTATTCTAACTACATGTGGCTTGGAAATATTTTTATTTATGCTATAATGTAACATAAATATATGACAATTTATTAGAAGAGGATAAATGATTAGTATAGTAGATTTACACAAAAATTGGCCAAAGGTGGAACTAATTCCCACAAAGACGGGGTTTGATTTTTTGAGCTCATTACTCATATCCTTTCAACATACTAAAAGTCTAGAAAAATGTGAGTGTGCGAAATGCGTTTTTTGGCCGTCATTTTTTTTTTAATTCATGAAAAATCGTGTGTTATCAAATAATGGGAAATTTTATGCTGAAAAAGATTATGATAATGAGCAAAAAAGATAAAAAATAATAAAGTGGTGGGCGAAAATTAGGAAGCATATCTAGAAAATTTTATTTTTAATAATCAAAAGGCTGTATAAAAAATGCAAAAATTAAGTCTAATAGTCTTCTTCATTATTTTCAACACGTTCTTTAGAGGCACTATTTGTACAATCGCGACCAGAATAGTTGCAGCATATCTCAGTACATTCCACACCATACCCTCGACAAGTACATCTACCACTACCACACGGCTCATTTGTATCCGTTTTGCAGGTGCAGCGGATTGTGTTTAGTAATAATTCTGGTGCAGGGCTCATTTCGCATATTATGGGCTGTAGTTGGTCTCCTACTTTTTTCCAACCCCACTCTTCGGGGTTGGAAATATTGATGTTCATAGTTTTCCAATAAAGGCATTGTAAATGTACGCGAAGAAGGTGCTGAATAGCAGCATCTTCAGTTAGTAGCAATCTTGCAATATTGAATTCACTTTTGGCAGATGTGATTTTTTCAAGTAGATATTATATCGTAGTATATGGTTCACTACCAACTGGTAGAAAGTCTTTCATTTTAGTAACCAGCTGCTGGGCACAAACCGGCTCATCATTTTCTTTAAACCACTTACATACTTCCAAAAAAGGATCTAGCTTGTCTTTCTCCATAGGACGACCAAGAGGTTTGTAACGTAATTCGTCTTTGGAATTATCTTGGTATTTTTTTGGGATCAGGTCACCTTTTCGAAAATTTACGCTGCATGCCTGGTGGTAAATGGCATCTGCTGCTGGCAAGTCATTAACTAATAGCAAACGGGATTAAACCTTTGCTGACCATAAATCATTTCTGGAGTTACACGCCTTCATAACTGATTTTTGAAACATTACTGTACGGACCTGTATAACCCCAGATTTATCCCGTTTCTCACGATCAGTAACAAAGCGACCACAAAATAAACATTGTTCTGTGAATAAAAAGGTTGGTATATTCGACCGGAGTACTCACCTGAAAGTACCTTGTGCTTCATCCTGAGTGGATAACTTTAATTTTGCATCATTCTGGATATTTTTAGGATTTGTATATACACGGCGGCATTCAAAATGGACTCTCACGGGGTCATCAGGAAATGGTTCAAATAACTCATGGATATTGTCTTTTCGAATTTTACTTGCACTTATAATTCCTTGTCTACTTTTGGCAGATAACTTAACGAACTTTGAAGTTTCGCCTTCTTTTTCAGAGCACAAGATACAGTTTATATCAGCCATGTTAAGTTTCTTAGGATTTGTCACGACTTGGGAAAGTCACCTGAACAAAAAAAGGAATTTACATATTTTTACATACCGTATAGACTTAGTTTTTTCCATACTATTTTGTTATTCAGTTTTATTCATTTTTATTCTTTTTAGTCCATAATCTGTTCTTTTTCAGCACAAAATTTCCCGGTATTTGATACCACACACGATTTTTCATGAATTTTGAAAAAAAATTCAAGATGGCGGCCAAAAAACGCATTTCGCACACTCATATTTTTCTAGAATTTTAGTATGTTGAAAGGATATGAGTAATGAGCTCAAAAATTCAAACCTGGTCTTTGTGGAAATTAGTTCCACCCTAAACCCTACTTCGACTATACTATATATTTTTATATAAAATGATTTTTTTCCACAACATATTGAATAAAAAAGAGATTGACCTACTTGTTTAACTATTATTGAAGGAAATTTTATAGAAATTAAAAAAAATATGGTCAAGTTTAAATCGTTGCACTTATTTTTAGATAATTTTGTCTTACTTTGTTTTAAATAAAACCTCCAATGTTAGTGTATTGATTTTTTTTTAATTTTACAAATTTTATGCTTAATTATGAATTTCCAAGTTAGTATGAAGATTTTATAAAAAACAAATCATGTTTTTTAGCAAAATATTCTGATGTTAGGTAGGTATGAAACCTTGAGGGTGAAATAGGAATTGACCTTGCCATAACATGGTAGCACAATGATTGTATGTATTTTTCAGACTTGAATTATGGCTTAAGGCTGCAAATAGAGAGAGCTTATTGGGAAAGGGTGTTGAACACAAGTAAAAATTACAAAATTTGTGAACTACACTTCCAGGATAAAGTCGTTTATCAGTCAGGAACAAGAAAACGATTATTTGCAAATGCATTCCCAATAGTATTTCCCCATTCAGAACCTACGAAAAGAGTCACAGTTTTGTAAGGTAAATACAATTTATAGTTAAATGTTACAAAAAGTTTGCTACTTGTCTCTTGTCATTTTTTTACATTACATTTAGTAGTTTAAAAAATAAGATGATAAGTACTAATAATCTTAGAATATCAACCCATACATTCCATTTTGTAGAACTACCTCGGAGGTAAACTGCACTATGTCGACATACAACAATTTATGCAAATTAAAATAAAGTAGTTTTAGTAGTTAGGTTAGTAAAAAATATAAATATTGTGACAATAAATGTGTGTCTAAATGCATATCTAGTTGAAATTTAATAATTTAACAACATTCAATCTGCTATACTAAAAAGTTAACTAAAATGACAGTGCAGTTTACCTCCTAGGCACAGGAATATATTCACATTTTATAAAATTATTTTAAATTTCATCTGGCTAAAAAGTGTGACTCAATCATTTAATTCTGATGAATGATGCACCTTCTTGATACTAGTTGATCTGATAAAAATTTGGTTTCTCTTTCTTTTTTTAGAGAAATTTGTTGTTCATGGCGAAGAAGGCAAAGACAACTTGTGTCTACCCTCAACTTCAGCAGAAGTAGAATTTATTGAACAAGTGCATAGTCAACCATCTGTTTCTCTACCTTGTGTAACAGCACAAATTCAAACGAGTAATGTGTTATCGTCAAACACTCCAAGAAAGCAGAGACTGCGAGTGAAGATAGCAACGTTGAGAAAACGTTTGTTTGGTGCAAAAAGAAGAAAAATAATTACTCATTATTTAATATTTTTTATAAGTACCGTTTATATAATTATTTTTTTTTTGTATATTAGGATATAGCTATTTTAATAACGCTGTGTCTAGGTACACGCTAACTTGTACGCAAATCTAAAAGTTAGGTACACGCGAAACGTCATCAAGCCGATAACGTCATTATTTAACGTGCTCTATGACTGTATATTTGGTACACGCTAATTTTTCTATTTTGTTGGTGTGTTTAGTGTTCGTTTGATAGATAAATATTTGTGATTAAGGGAAGGGTAGCAGAACTATCGAGATGTCTCAAATTTAATTGTAATAAATCAATGTGTATATAGTATATTATGCAACAATCATGTATTAATAATAATTTTACTACACCTGTCTCCTACCCGAAATAATTGATGCTATATATCTGAGGATAATGGAAATTCGCAATCCAACACCAGAATAATTACTTTCATATATGTAAATATCTGAATATTCGCCGTCTAAATTCTTATAGTTACTGGAGATTTTGTAAATAAACTTTAACTTAAAATGTCTAGTTTACTTTTAAACCATATATTTAATAACTATGACTTTAAAAAACATTGCAAAATTTACTATTTATATAAAAATCCCGCAAGACCTGTTTTAGTTTTGATAAAATTAATAAAAAAAAATAAAATATAAAGAAATAAAAAAACCCTTCCCTCCCTCCGCCCTCATTTTTGATAAAAATTTCGAGGTTATGTTTTTCTTCAACGCCGGTTCACATAGAGAGTCGTCTTAATAACTTATAGTATAGGAGTAGAAAAAAATATATATTCAGGTTAGCAAAATATACATTTAGTTGACATGACATGTACAAAATACTGTAAAAATAATTTTTATACATAAGATAATTATTATTGTCAAAGCTCAGAAAATTATTTTTTAGTTTGTCTTCGCTTTAATCCAATAACGGTTTGATCGGCTCCTTTAGGTCTTCCTTTTATTTTAATTTTGGGCGGTAATACTATTTCACTTATTACTAAAAAAAATAATATTTTATAGCGATTACAAATAAAACGTATCTATGAAAATCTTACTTCTGATTTTTTCGTTGCTTTCCATAGTTAAAACTGATTCCCCATGTCCACTTTCGATTTTTTGCCAATTTTCAGTAAAAATTTTTTCTTCGTTAGGTACTAAAATTTCATTATCATCTAGAAAAGAAAAAATATTGTTAATTATATGAGTTTATTTTAACAATAATATCAAATAAGCAACAAACCAGTTATATTTGAGTCTAAGATGTCTTTTGGTATAGTTAGTTGACCATGTCCATTTATAGATAAAATGTCCTTGTTATTTTGTTCTTCCATTAGATCTTTGAATTCAACTTCTACATTAGGCAATTCGTCAGTTACTAAAATCTCATTAACATCAGCTAGAAAAGAAGGAATATTGTTAATTATATAAGTTTATTTTAACAATAATTTTAAAGCTCAACAAACCAGTTATATTTGAGTCCAAGATGTCTTTTGGCATAGTTAGTTGACCATGTCCATTTACAGATACAATTTCCTTGTTATTTTGTTCTTCGTTTAGATTTATGAATTCAATGTGTACATTAGATATGTCAAAAAAATCATTTGGATCTTCATTATTTGTAATGCTCTGATCTGTATTTTCGTCAGTGCTACTAGGAATTACATTTATGGCTATTTCATGACCTTCTCTCCAAACAGTTTCTATTGCTTCCAGTATCTTCATTTTGTAAATAAATGAACTACCGGAAGATAGACTAGCTAAATTTGCCAACGAATTTGTCATAAAAAGAGCCTTTTTTCTCTTTTGGTTTACTGTCTGTACACTAGAAGAACCAAGCCTGTGTCACAGAAAACGGTTGCAAAGAAATGTTCTCGCTTGTAGTGGTAACGCCTTTTGCAACCCTTTGATGTTTTATATAAAATTCTTTTGACCATCTTTCATTGCATAAACTTTTGTCAAATAACTTTATTTTTTCCACTGTTCTAGTGGCAAAAATGTGCTTACATGGTAGAAGCATTTATGTAAAGTGTATGCAAGTACATTTATTTGCTAACTAAAACATTGTATTTGTTCCCATTTGACTCCGCTTCATATATATTCAAAATACGATCTTTTAAAGTAACTGCAACTTTTTTTGAGGCTACGATTTGAAACTGAACATACCTGCTTGCATAGGGTGTTAGATATTCTTCGTACTGGAATTCACAACTATCCTTACTAAACAATGTTATAGGCCTTGTTAAAATTAATCTAGCTGTCCGATTATCCCTTTCATGCTCATGAGAATGTAAGAAAATAAAAAAACTTTTTACGAATTGTGCTAGGCTACTGTTTTTCTCTATTACTTGCTTTAATTTTCCATTGATTGCTTCCAACCTATTGTTTGTTCTATTTAATAAATTACCATGACACATACTGTAAACCGTCCATTCGTGTTTTATGTCATGCCCGTTTTTGTTGTAGTAGGTAATTACTGACTGTGAAGCAGTTTCTCGCAAAAGTTGATAATTTTTGTCATATTCTTCTTCACTTTGGCTGTAGACAAGACTCTCTAATAGTTCAAGAGTGTTCTTCCGTTCCTGATTTGTTAGATTAATTTTTTCTCTAGATATTTCCCTTTTCATAGTCTTCAAAGTGTGGAATAAACAAATATATACTTGGGCTTGAGGAAAAATTTCTTTGATCACATTTCTTTGTAGTAAATCCTTATCGCCCATGAAACATTTTATTTTATTTTCACAAATAGAATTCTCTTCTTTAAAAATATTCATAAACCATGAAAATGTTTCTTTGTCTTCGTGTGCAGTTAGGGCCACGGCAGCGATTTCACTCTGACCATTCGAATCTTCAACTATCATTACAAACACAGTAAATCCTAGATTTAATAACTTATAGGTACCATCTATAGAGACAAATTCAGGCCAGGATTTAATTGCTCTTCTCATGGAATCAGTAGAAAAATATAGAGCTTTAAATTGGTTTACAGAATCATGTAAAATGTGAACATTGCATTCTGTAAAATAAATATATATGCAGGGTGTCCCGAAATGAGACGGTCATCTTTTAACAGCTTAATCTACATTCTAAAATAGAAGTAAAAGTTCATATAAACATATGTCTGAAAATGTTTCGTCTCCGAGATACAGGGTGTTCTGATGACACATTTTAGGACGCACAATTTTCAAGAGAAAAGCATTTGAAAATTTCATGATAAGTTCATATTATCTTATTCGAAAGTGCAAACAATAATTAGTAGGCCTGTGGAATCAAATATTTTATTTATTTTTTCAGCCTGGA